CCCGACGACCCCTGGAGGTGCCAGGGAGACGCACAGATCCTCTTCCTCAAACAGGGATTTCAGATTGAATTTTTCATCTGGATTATCGGAAAACTCGTGCGTGCGCTCCCGGCACAGAGTGAAATAATTCTGGATAACTACTGTGTTGTCGCTCCAAGAGCAGCTAAGCAGAGCGCGCTCCCCTGACCAGGCGCTGTGGTAGAGCCGCAGAGATGGAGAGGTCTGCCGGAGAAAACTGTAGTGCACTTCTCCGGTAGGCAAAACTTTCGTCCATGTGCAGAGGAGCGAGGCTTCTGCAGCCGGCCATCTCAGGAGAGCTGATGCTAAAATGACAGTAACAAGAGGAGCGATGTGCGTCATGGTGGCGCGTCGGGAACAGCCGCTGGATGAAAGAGGCTAAAAGGTTGAACAGATTAAATCTAAAACAAATTATTGCTCCACTCACTGAGGACTTAATGACAGATCGACAGACTCCGGGTTGGTTTTTAATGAGAAGGGAGGCGCGCGGGGGTGTTCCGGTGCATCTAAAATAAACACACCATCCAAATCAGCCTGAATCATGTGACCTGTCAGTGTAGTTAAATCTCTCTCTCTCTGGCACTTCAGTGTGACAGCATGACATTCTGATAACACACACGCGTGAATACACACACGCACAAGCCAAATAGGTTTATCAATATGCAAATGGAACAAATATTGATAAGTGACAGACGTGCCCCCAGTACGGAAGCTAAATAGACACTTCAGTGAAAATGTGACAAACTAATGATAAATAAATGTTGGTTAGTCTACTAACTTCCTGCCCAGTTTTTTTTTTTGTTTTTAATAGTTTATTCTCTCTTTCTTAGACCTGTAAGATGAGACCACCAATTAACTTTTATTTCAGTATCATGAGCTGTTCAAAGAAATAAACTAAGATAAGATGGGCTTTATTGATCCCAACTTCACTTGCTACACAGCTCCAGATACAACACAACAGATAAGAAAAAACAAATAAAAATAGAATAGAAATTGAAAAACGAGAATAACATATATGTGTACACTATATACACCTTTTATATACAGATGTGATTGAAAAGAAATAGCCTTGCACAGAACAGTAACCACTGTTGCATGCCTCTCTTCATGTGGGGGCAGTTTTAGATGTTACCACATTATATTTAATGGGATTTACATGAGCCATACATTTATAATGTTAGGGATTGTACTAACATTATCAGAAAAGAGCAAAGGTATTCTAATTTTCTTGTGGCTGAAGTTAGGGTCACTTTTGGAAGAGCAGGGGAAGGTATTTAATGTTTTTTCTTATCCCAAATTAATTCTTTATTTCAGCTGTCCTATATAGTTAACTGCAATATAGTTAGTAGATGCAAAACACAACTTTCAGGCCGAATGGGTTCATAAAGCTTTGCAATATGCAGAAGACAACAATTCTGCCTCTGTGTTAGGGTTTTTGTTACAGTAGGTGACATTAAAAGTTATTAAGGTATTAAGTTTTAAATAGAGTACACAGTTTTGTTGTTGTTTTTAAATTTTAATGGCTATATCATGTGTTAATATACCCTACATGTATTATTCTGACATGTTGTGTGGAGGGTATTGCGGTTTCTTTTTGTAAGTTACGAGGAGGTTCAAAGAATGCCACCCACCTCCACCGTCTCCATCTTTGTTTGTACAGTCCCTAAAACACAGTAGGCCTATATACAGTATCTCACAAAAGTGAGTACACCCCTCACATTTTTGTAAATATTTGATTATATCTTTTCATGTAACAACACTAAAGAAATACTTTGCTACAATGTAAAGTAGTGAGTGTGCAGCTTGTATAACAGTGTAAATTTGCTATCCCCTCAAAATAATACATCACACAGCCATTAATGTCTAACCCGCTTCTTTCCCTGGTGTCATGTGAGTCATTAGTGTTACAGGGTCTCAGGTGTGAATGGGGAGCCAGTGTGTTAAATTTGGTGTTATCGCTCTCACACTCACTCATGCTGGTCACTGGAAATTCAACATGGCACCTCATGGCAAATAACTGAGGATTTGAAAAAAAGAAAGGTTGCTCTACATAAAGATGGCCGAGGCTATAAGAAGACCGCCAAGACCCTGAAACTGAGCTGCAGCACGGTGGCCAAGACCATACAGGATTTCCACAGGACAGGTTCCACTCAGAACAGGCCTCGTCATGGTCGACCAAAGAAGTTGAGTGCACGTGCTCAGTGTCATATCCAGAGGTTGGATGGGGGGGGGGGGGGTCAGCCTGTCAGTGTTCAGACCGTACACCTCACACTGCATCAAATTGGTCTTTATGGCTGTCGTCCCAGACGGAAGCCTCTTCTAAAGATGATGCACAAGAAAGCCCACAAACAGTTGCTGAAGACAAGCAGACTAAGGACATGGATTACTGGAACCATGTCCTGTGGTCTGATGAGATCAAGATAAAAAACTTATTTGGTTCAGATGGTGTCAAGTGTGTGTGACGGCAACCAGGTGAGGAGTACAAAGACAAGTGTGTCTTGCCTACAGTCAAACATGGTGTTGGGTGTGTCGTGGTCTGGGGCTGAATGAGTGCTGTCGGCACTGGGGAGCTACAGTTCATTGAGAGAACCATGAATGCCAACATGTACTGAAGCAGAGCACGACACCCTCCCTTTGGAGACTGGGCCGCGGGGCAGTATTCCAACATGATAACGACCCAAGACGACCACTGCCTCGCTAAAGAAGCTGAGAGTAAAGGTGATGGACTGGCCAAGCATGTCTCCAGACCTGAACCCTTTTGAGCAGCTGTGGGGCATCAATGGAAGGTGGAGGAGCGCAAGGTCTCTAACATCCACCAGCTCCGTGATGTGATCATGGAGTGGAAGAGGACTCCAGTGGCAACCTGTGAAGTCTGCTGAACTCCATGCCCAAGAGGGTTAAGGGAGTGCTGGAAAATAATGGTGGTCACACAAATATTGACACTTTGGGCCCAATTTGGACATTTTCACTTAGAGGTGTACTCACTTTTGTTGCCAGCGGTTTAGACATTAACGGCTGTGTGATGTGTTATTTCGAGGGGACAGCAAATTTATACTGTTAGATTGCAGCAAAGTGTCATTTCTTCAGTGTTGTCACATGAAAAGATATAATCTAATATTTACTAAAATGTGAGGGGTGTACTTACTTTTGAGATACTGTATACGAAAGATCATGTGGAAGTTATGATTTAAACTAAAAAAGGAAACACTATAGCTACGGGTTACTATTTGCATCACTGCGATAGAACATATATTCATTTTGACTTGATCCAGGATGAGTGTTTCTGTTTTTATTTCAGAACATGTGTTGAATCACTTTGTAAATTAATTTTATGGTCATGTGTGGGGAGTGATAGGTTGATAGATCTTAATCTAATTAGCAGCTTATAATAACAACTTAAAAATAGATGCTCTAAAGGAAAACATCAGTTGTAAACATGATTATGTTTATGATTATGTAATGAGAGAAATCTGTTGGTGTGGAGAAAGAAGAGAGCTTACCAGACCTCTGTAGCCCACTGCTCATCTCTGCTGCAGACTAGAGGCTCCAGGGTACATTTGCAGCTACTAGCACACCTGAATCTTTGACACAACTGTTGATGGTTGAGTTGCATTGTGGGTAATGGAGGCAGCAAATTTTGACAAGTAAGAAGAATGTGTGGAATAAAAAACACAACATCTTTGCTCCCACTGCATCCATTTCTGTGCTTTTTTAACTGCCCATTGTGAATCCAACAATGCTGTTTAACCAACCTTTGGTTCACTTAAAAAAAACAAAAAACAAAAAGACAAACACCTGCTTCCTGAGAGTCACATGACTTTACAACCATAGTTTTTTAAAGAAATTAAGGATTATTAACTTTATGACAGTAAAGTCAGTTAAGGTGCTGATTCCCATTACATTTCTATCCTTTTTTTCTGTCCAAATTAGGTGCAGACATGAGTTTTACAGCCACATTTTAAGCTACTGCACATTTACAAGTTTGTTATTTATGTTATGCTGTCTGGAGGTCTTGGGGTTAGATCAGATCAACTGTATTGATTTGTCTGCTTTGTCAAATGTACATGTTTGGCTTCCTGTCAGGACTATCTTTTCATTATCTTTATGGGAAATCTTTTTATGGGAAATCACTACTAATGAGAAAGGTAAGTGTAGATCCAACAATGCTGTTTAACCAACCTTTGGTTCACTTAAAAATAAACAGTTTACTTGTGACCCCAAATCACGGGCGGTAGGACACGAGTTGTGAGCAGTTCGACCGAAGACAGATTTTTCCTTCTAAAGAGGTAAAAATATCCAGAATTTAAATGAAGAAAGCAAAAATGCAGAACAAATAAACATATTTTTTGGTTGAGAACCAGCCTTACCACTGGGACACCTGGTCTATCAAGACAAACACCTGCTTCCTGAGAGTCACATCACTTTACAACCATACTTTTTGAAAGAAATTAAGGATTATTTAACTTTATGCGGACAGTAAAGTCAGTTAAGGTGCTGATTCCCATTACATTTCTCGCCTTTTTTCTGTCCAAATTAGGTGCAGACATGAGTTTTACAGCCACATTTTAAGCTACTGCACATTTACAAGTTTGTTATTTATGTTATGCTGTCTGGAGGTCTTGGGGTTAGATCAGATCAACTGTATTGATTTGTCTGCTTTGTCAAATGTACATGTTTGGCTTCCTGTCAGGACTATCTTTTCATTATCTTTATGGGAAATCTTTTTATGGGAAATCACTACTGATGAGAAAGGTAAGTGTAGATTATGCCTTAGCTAAAATTCAAGGACAGACTTTTCAGAGTGCGACAAGTCCATCAACTTTTACCCACTTGGACGGAAGGCAAGGTTTATCAAGAGAAGTCAAAGTTCACAAAATTCTCAGCTGCGTGTCTGTCTGTGCTGATCGGTTCAAACATCGCCTGATTCAGACAAAGTTTCTGCCATGTCACAACACACATCAAGCAAGCAGGGAGAAAGGAAGTGCCATGATGTCTTTATTAATTAGCCATGTATGCTACATTATAAGTTCAGACATGCATCAATATGAATACAGAAAATGTTGGTTATTTAGCTTGTGCAACTCTGATAACCTTGCACTGAAATATATCAATCAAATATACCACTGGAGGGAGATTTCATGACTTTTTTTGGAACTTGCGCTTATGTTGCATAATAAGATTTGTTCTTCATAATAAAATGTCATGCAGAAGCATTTTGGGCCTTTGGATTTCTCCAGAAGATAGACAGAGTGTTCACACATGCACAGGTGAAGGTGATGTAGTGGTGATAATGACACCTACATGTTATCTGTGTCAAAAAGCAAATGCATATCACATCAACAACAAAAAAAGTGAATTTTTTCACATTGTTTTAGCAACCAAACATCTGTAAGTGTCCCACATGCATGATGCACAGTAATTATGCACAATAACACAAGTGAGCTGTTAACACATTACATGATCCCATATGACGAGAGCACAGAGCGACACAGGGGTAAAAACAGGTCAGAGACGGAAAACTGGGAATTCCCTCTGTTGGGAGCATGGAGGCACACCTCATTACAACATAGTGTCTTAATGATAATCACAATTACAAGGGTTTTATCTGCTCCATAAAGTGTGATAATAACTCTATTCAAACATTACCGCATTTCAGGTAAGGTTTATTTTTTTATGTGATGCAGTTTATGATATGATAACTGTGAAAATGACAGCTTCCTGGTGTTTAGTGGTCACTTATTACAAACATCCATGTTGGTCACCTGAAAACTGTTGTCGCTTGCACATTGCACTTTGGGACAAACATACATAAAAGCAAGAGGATAATATCCGTCTTCCCGTGCTCGCTGGAAGACAATATTCTACAGGGAGAACGACAGAGAAAGAAAATATACAGACAAGGGGAAGACATTTTAATCCTCAAACTGAACCGTGTTGTCATTTACCAGAACATGCCAGCGCTCAATCTTCTTGTCTTTGTTCTTGAGGCATTCGTACCAGTGCTTCAAACACTCTCCTTTAGCCTGGATGCCTAACTGACATCCTCCTGGAGGTAGAGAGGAAAGTAAGCATTACATTTGAACAAGTCTAAGAGTCTGCAGCCATGCTGGCAGCTCTGTGAGACTGTATTTAGGCATAGTGGCAAAAAGCTGACAATGATAATGCTCTTATCCTGATGTTTACCAAGTATAATGTTTAATTGTTCACTAGCGTAGTTAGCGTGTTAGCAGTTTTCTAATTAACACTAGACACAGAGAAATTAGTTATGCAGGTTTGTAAACCAAAGATGATGATGCTAAATGAAAAGTCAGGGGACCACTAAAGGTTTTACAATCCAACCTGAGAAGGACATGAATGTGTGTAGCAAATTTTATGGTAATCCGTCCAACAGTTGTTGAGACATTTTTGTCTGGACCAAAGCGGCAGACCGACCAAAAGCCATCGCCATTTCTAGAGCCAGGCAGCTAGCATGGCTAATAAAGTACAAGACTAATAGTCTACAGCCCGAGATTCTACTAGGGTGACCAGACGTCCTGAAAAATTCAAATAAAGTACCGAATTATGAGCAGTTGTCCCAAATTCTGTCTTGCTGTTCTGGAAAATAAACTAAACCTAAGTTAAGATTAGTTATTGCCTAATTTAACATTAAATACTGATTGTTGTGAATCGGTCTTTTGGTGTTGCCCACGATGGGCACAAAGTAACACACGTACTCTTTTGGCCTTTTTGTTTTCTAGATGAAGACGTAATAGATAATGATTTACATACAATTACGTACAACACATTAATGTTTTTTTCCTGATAGACAATTGACGTCATGAACAAAAATTATAAATGTTAGCGTTGAATTTTGACTTTCACGTGTTTAACTGTTTGTTGACACTGAATGTAATGTACTTGAGGCCACGTCCACCCCCAACTCCCCTGTCCCGAGTTTCACCTATTCTCACCTATATTCACCCTAGATTGTAAATGCTAACACCAGCATGTAAACACACTCACAGGGACAGCGCTAACGTGCTGATATTAACCAGGTATAATTACCAAGCATGTTAACCATCTTAGCTTAGCGTGTTAGAATGTTAACATTAGCTAATTTGCACTAATCCCAAAGTACAGCTGAGGCTGATGGGAATGTCATTAGTCTTGCTCGTATGTTGTAGGCTAATAAAATCACCGGTTGAACAAATTAAAATTGCCACTAGATGAAAAGTTGAGGGATGAACAAAGTTATTACAATTCATCTTGAGGGGTGCATTGATGTCTGTACCAAATGTCATAGCAGTCTATTCAATAACTGTGAAGACATTTCACTAAAACTAATGTCAACCTCAAGTCAGCGGATCACTGAAGTTCTTAGAATATATTCTCTGGGAAACACAATTTTGTACCAAGCCGTTAGTAGAAGTGGAAGTGAAGTGAAAGACTTTGACCTGCTGGTGGCGCTAGAGGAAAAGTCATTAGGATTCATCCCCTGGGCACCATGGATATACTGTATGTACCAAATTTCATGGCAATCAATCTAATAGTTGTTGAGATGTTTCAGACTGGGCCGACAAACCAGCATGGCTAAAAATAACAAATTGGATGAATGAGGAAATGTGATTGCAAGACACACTTACCAATGAAATCGTTGGATTTTCCCATGTCGTAGTCCCAGACTGAGATGTCAAGGGTTTTCTTGGCTAACTCACCATGCTTTATTTCATAACCGAACTCCTGAAACATGGTAATGAAACATGAGTTTATGAGATCTGGCTGCACAGAAGACGGCCAAGTTCAGTATGTGCAAATAGAAAGCGACAGTTTAGAAAGAACTGACCTCGTTAAACTCTGGATTGAGAGTTTTCTTTTTTATCTGCGTCTTGTTTTTAGCTTTCTTCCCCATATCTGGCTTTAGACATCTACAGCACAAAAAAAGAGATTTATAACTAAAAATATTATAATTAAACACATGTAACATTTGTAGTTGAAACAGCAGAAATAAAAAGTTCAAAACTCCTATAAAGTTAAATAAATATTTCAAATGCTTATTCACTTTTTTGTAGAGGGTTAAATAAGAAGAGAGATACCACTCTCAAGTCTGTCTGTTAAACATGAAGCTACAGTCATTAGCTTAGCTTAGCACAAAGACAGGAAATACAAGGAAAATCTATGCTGGCTCGGTCCAAAGGGGAAAGAAACCTAGTCTAAAGCAATTGTTATTTTTTCTCTTCAGTTTTGTATAGTTTAGAAAAAACATGGCTTTACAGATACTGGTAGGTGGACTGGACAGAGCTAGCTGTGCCCCTGCTTCTAGTCTTTATGCTAAGCTAAGCTAATAGTCTCTTGGCTGTAGCTTCATATTCACCATACAGACATGCGTGTAGTATCAATCTGATCGGATCTGTGCAGATGGGATGAGGAGGAGTGGGCTGAATGGAGCACGTACATTTTGACGAATGGGTCCGAGTATCCGTTGGAGTCCATGGCAGCCAGGTGAGCACAGCGGACCACGCCCACGATCAGCCGACCTTGCTGACTGTTGTACGTCAGCGATACCAGGATACGACCTCTCTCCTCTGAATCATCACCTTCATTCAGCTGCACACACACATACGTATATACTTAAAACATACCACACACGCATATAAAAAGCAATGGTATTTAATTTCCCTGATCCTAATGCTCCTTTGCACTCTCTAAACATCTGGAGGGATTATAAAATGATTATCATAATATCAACTGATGGAGGATAATGTAAGTGCTTAAGAACAAAATGATCTACATGTATATTACTGTTTTATTATGTAACAGGATTAACTCGATTTACATTAACGTTTTGCAGTGTCAACGAATACCACTGAAAGACCAGAACCAACAATGTCTGTCTCTCTCCTGTCTGCGGCACTACTGGAGACGTAACCTTTAAAAATGGGTCACAAATACAGTATATACTTTCATTATTTCCAGCTGCTTACCGTAGTGTTTATCAAACTGAGAGGAGGAAATAGAGCATTTGTAGGGGACTATTTTCAGCGGTGGATGAATCCACATGTGGTGCTCTAGTGAGTATTTGGTGCAGCAGGACGGTGTATGTGGGACTGAGTCAGAATAAACTACAGTGTGTGAAGGAACATGTGACCCAGTGCAGCAGTGAGGCTAACTGATGTGTTTTTAATAGATTCCGGACAACAATTCAGCTGTATGAATGTATTGATACACCAAATATTTCACATTTTATTTCCTTATACTATAATTTAGGGCATGTCCTGATATCTACTGATCCAATACAGGGGCTGTCTTTTTACCAAATTTAAAATCTGAATAACTCACCGCATGGAACTTGTTAGTATAATTGTGAAGTAAGCTAATATGAGTCCAGGGATTTCCGCCATGTTACTGATAGCGGAAACAGTGAATATCCTAATGGTATTGATGAAGAAATTTAATGTGGATCGATCATGTCCGGCCGCTACCCGATCTACTTAATAAGCGCTGTATCCGATCATTGCATGCCTATATCTATGGCACGGAAGAAGATCAGACTGTGGATCCACACACAATACTTGTTATTAGGATGAATTCATTGTTGGTTTTTGTCTCTTTATGGGATTTATGTCAATAACAAAATTGCAGAATATCATGAAACTTATCCTTAAGCTTATGTAACATTTACAACACAGGTAAGATATGATCTGCTGTTCTCCCTTTGCAATTTTAAATATACACAAACTTAGCTGACACATACAACGGCAGAAAAGACATATAACATCCGATGCACATTAGTATGAGATCCATGTGTAGGATCTTACGTCATCCTCATAGAGAGCCATGCCACGGACTGATCCTCCTACTGCCTTCTTCACCTGTAAAGAGAGTAAACCAGTATTAAACATTATTATCTTCATCATCATTATCATCACCACCAGCACTATGTACACATAAAGAAAAAATTTTATATACAAGGAATAACATAGCTCAGCTAATGATATATAAACAGACAAAGACTATAATATAAAAAGTATTAAAAAATAAAATCCATCCCAAATTGAGTCATCATCTCCCACAGAAAACTCCTGAACAGCCTGAAAACAGCTCGATTGTAGTCCAGCCTTTACTTCTATAAACTATCTGTGTCACTTTGTAACACGGCTAGTGTGGCACACCCTCAAAAACACTGCTGGAGAAACACAATGAGCTGCAGCACACAGTGACAAGATGCCTAGTAGTCCTAAAGGAAACTGCTTTTCCAGTCCTATTTTGTAGCCAAGCCAGTTCAAAATAGAGCGTTCAGAACAGGAGGTAATCTGAGGTTTTTGCTCACAGGGATTTCTTTTAAATACTTTTACCTAATTTTTTGAAGCTTTGACCATGTTTTAACATGAACATCCAACATTGTAACATTGTAGATAAGTCATAAAATATGGAAAAGCATAATAGGTCTCCTTTAAGTTGGTGCTGCAAATGCACAACTCCAAACAAACATCGAATACAAGTGAGATGCTTCACTTGGTAGCTAAAATGGAGCAGTCAACGCACAGGGTGAAAAGAGGATCTGCAGCAATGTGCAGTATGACAAAAAACATGGTGGTTTTTTAATACGAAACCAGTTCTAATAAAACCCCTAAATAAAATTATGAAATAGTTATTCTTCACAATATTTCTTCATAGTTATGTTGAAGAAATATTGTGAGCCAGCTGTCAGGTGCAAGGAAGACTAATGAAGTCTTACACAGCAAAGTTCAATAAGACTTGGCGAAGGAGAAACAGAGTCAGCATCCAACGTCCCGTTTATGTTTCTGTCTTTCCCCTAGTGCCTGTAGGTTTTTCCTCTTAGGTCTTCTTCAACTGACCTTAACCCATTTGTTGTTTAGACTCCAAAGCATTCCCTACGTCACATTGGAATCCATTACTCTCCATGAGTTGCAATCTGATCTGTGGAACTTTCTGGCTCCACAGATTAGAGTCTGAACCTGATTCTTACAATGTTAAATCTCACAAGAAAGTTCTTGTAAGATTTAACATTGTATGATTCCCAGAGAATCCTGACATCTGCTAGCCTGCTGCCTGGAGGACAGGACAATTACAGAGACAAATAACTAGAGCTGGAAGGTCAGCGTTCAGCTAATGACTCCCAGCTAGACCTTTCATACATTGCCCTGTTACACAATTAAACCCCCTAAGAAATCCAAGGAAGGTTAAAAATCAAGGGCAACTGGACTTGGTTGAAGATACAGTTGCCCTTGATTTTTAACCTTCGTTGGATAACTATGACCTGGATGACTGAGAATCTTCATAGACATCCCCCTAAGAAATATTTTTAACAAGTTAAAAAATTTGGTAAATACACCTATTCGCTTTCTTGCTTCATACATTTATGGTAAATGTGAATGTTTGTATACATAGGGTGCTGTAAGAATAAAACCAGAAACGAGTTTGCATTTTTGCACTTCTTGTTCCCTAGTCTTGAAAGCAATGCGTTTTTTTGAAATGGTTAATGGTAAGATGTCTGAAATAAGGTCTGTGTTTAAGGCCCCATCCACATTACTGCATATTCGTTTTAAAATGGAGACCTTTTGCTATGTCCCATTCAAACTAAAACGCCGAAAACAAAGAACTAAAACATAGAAGTTTGGAAACACTGCCGACCCCGTTTTTCGTTTTGAAACTCCAGAGGGTTTTAGTGAAGACGGGCAAAAACGGAGGACTTTAGAAACGATGACGCAGACGCTCACACTTGGCTCCCTGATCGGGGCTCATAAGTCATGTAAAGTAGAAACACGATTCTACTGACAGTTTTAGATTTGGTATTTTTATTAAAATATTCTGTACCATGCAAATAACACTTATCTGTCTACACTTGTGCTGTGCATGTCGCCATTTACTTTGCAACAAGTCCAGTCTGTTTTCTGTCGCCACAGTTGCTTTTAACTCCTGTGTTACATGCAGTAACAGTCCCAGCTCGTTATTGGTCCATGCAAGAACAGAATCTTGTGTGATTCCTCATCTGCATTACTTTATTCTTTCGCCAGATCTTCTGTAACTACAGAAGAGACCATCTGCTTTATGTTTACACCGGCACGGACATGCCCAGTGTACCTGAACAGCCACTAGATGTGCGTTTTCAGTCGTTTTAATATAAACGGAGATCAACTCTAAAACGCTGGTGTGGATGGAGATTGTATTTCTTTTAAATCTAGTAGTGTAGGTGGGGCCTAAGGTGAGCTAAAGATATTTTCACATTTTGTTCTTTGAAGTAAAATATGTCAGTTATTGCCCCACTCTGTGTCTTGTCTCAAAAAAAGCGGTTACTAACAAGTGGCTAAATGAGACAAAATCAAATTATAAGTTGGAAGCTTAGTGGAGGAGATGCTGAAGTGATGGGACCATGGTGTAGTTCGTTTATAGCCCAGTGTTAGCATCTAACCTCTAGCGTTTCTATTTACACTTCAAAAATCATAAAAGTGGTTTTCACATGTGCCAGGATTATCTTGTTGAACAAAACGTGTAAGTATCATAAACTTTTGTTTGTGACAAATGTTATTTTCTACAATAATCCAAAATTAGTATGCTTGTTTAACTATGATGTATTTAAGTTTGCAAACTTTATATCAAAGGCTTGGAAAAGAAGGCAATCTAGTTTGTTTAACTAGATTTAATTTTGTCCTGTGTAGGATTATGGGCTTAGATGGGTGGTTATTTGAGTAAATGCGAATACATCTGTATATGTGTATATATATATATGCATGTATCTGAATATATATGTACTATTACTAGTATTATTCTGTTTCTAATTCTTGTCTCTATTTGGTTAGCAATGTATATGATGTACTCTGGATCTGGCTATCTTGTATATTAATTTTCTAATTTCTGTAGATTAATGTTGGTGTCCTGTAAGCCCATGCAGGCTGGGCATAATTATACGCATGACACAATAATAAAGCTTCATTCATTCATTCATTCATTCCACTGACCCTTTAATTTAAATATGCTGTATTTCATCCTGCATTCTTTAACAATATGAGATGTTGGTGTCGTTCTCAGGCTCACCTGGACCACTCGCTCTAAACAAACACTGAAGTTCTTCTTCTGGTTGAACTTCAGTTTCTTCAGGGCAACTCGTGTCTCTCCTATGAATTCATTGTGTCCAAACTTGTCCTCGTCGCTCACTGAAAGCCTGGAGACAGACAGAGTGCCTTATGAAGCTTTTTCACCTAACTGGTACAATGTACAATAGGAGGAAAGGTAGGTTATGGTTGTTCTTACCGGAGAGTTTTCCGTGACATTTCCTCATCAGTGATACCGTGGTAGACTAGTGTCTCATTCCACACAGGATTCAGGGTGTTTTTAAGTGTCTTGGTGCGAAGCTTGTTAGACTGAGGAAGAGTAACACAAGACATTAAGGTGACAAGAGGAACATAATGCTCACATTACCTGGGAACCTGTGCTCATCAAAACATCAAACTGCTTCGCTTAAATTGAGCAAATTACTCTGTTTCACTGTGGGCAAGATGCTCATTCAGCAGAATAAGACAATAATGAGAATTCTTCATGTCATAAATCACACACCAACAGTGTAGGCTCATATATTTGATGCCATGAGCAGTAATTGATGGGTTATTGCCACAGCATGTGATTTGAGTGCATCCCAGATTGAATTAACGCACTCCTACACCTTCTTCACAACCTGTGTGTTTTTATAAGACCACTGAAGGCAACCCTTCTATGCAATGCACTACTTCTACTCCCCTACATCTACTTTTATTCTAGAGCTTTAGTTACGAGTAACTTTATAGATTCAGATTTATAATATTAAACACATACAATATATTTTTGTACACTAAATTGAAATTGGCCTCACCGTTACCAGTTGCAACATTACGATACATACACATTCATAAATCAATAATTAAAAGTCATTAATGTAATATGGATTATTTTGAAATTGGCCATTATGCAAAATTAGTATTTTACTTTTAGTACTTAGTAGTGCCAGTCAGGACTTTTTGTTATATCCTGTGGTCCCTCACCTCTGTTAACCTTTGGTTCTCTGCTGTTTCCCCACCCTATTGTGCCTGTCTGTCTGTTTTTCCCTGTGAGTTGCTTGGTTTGCAGGTGGGCGTGGCTCTCCTCCCTGTGTCTCTACACACCTGCACCTCGTTCCCAATCAACTGCCTGTTATCTACCCCGGTCCAGCACGGCAGTATTTACCAGATCGTCTGCGTATCTCCAGTGGTACACACCTTGCGCTGCTACTCGTACTAAACCTGTTTTTTACGACTTTAACTTGCTTCAACTAATCCTTGTGAATTCTCCCTCGTTCTCACAGACCACCCGGACCTGCCTGCCAGCCCGCCTGCCTTCCCACCTGCTTCCCTCTCATCGCTTCAGCCTAACCACCTCGCTCCGCTTTCCCTGTCTGGACCTGGATTGACTCCTTCGCCCCCTGTGAACTGTATACGTTTATTTCTATAATAAACTCCCTTTGAATTGTGAATAATGATCTGGCGCTGTCGTGCTTTTGGGTCCAGTTTTACGTACACCTAACACATTTACTTGTAATGGACTATTGCTACATTATAGTATTTCTACTTTTATTGAAGTGAAAGTTCAGAGTACTAATGCCACCACTACGTGTTTTGTGTTATTTCCCTCCAGTCTCAGTTTCTGCATTCAGGATTAAAGTCGAAACATGTGCAGATGAGTCTTCCTGGGCTTGTCTAATCGCATCTTTCCGTTGACTACGTATGCACCACTTCTAAAATTTCCTTCACCCAATCTGTCTGAACACACAGTTACACCATGATATTGCACTTATTTAAAGCTGCACAAATCTATGTTTTTACATTAATAAGGTCAAATTACTATGTTGAATGTGGCATGGGACACTTGTAGTGTAGTGTAGTCTTTCGGTCTGTTTTCAATCACTGTTTTGGTTCAGTCTTACTGCTCTCATCGTTTTCATATTCAAAAAGCTTAAGCTCTTAAAGCTCTAAAAACCCACTGTGCGCTACCTGCACCAAACAGCAGACAGAGACAGTTAGTGACTAGCTGGTGAAGAAAATGGAGCATTTAGCAGCTAAAGAGAGAGATATTTTTCTCAAGGGTTGGCGGGGACCAAAAACAGAACTAAAGGGAGAGAAATATGACTACAAATTAATGCAAATGTTGCTTCCTGTATTTTGGATGTATAAGTAGGCTAACACGTTCACTAGGAGTGTGCAATATTGACAGAAAATGATTTTGTCAATAACGATAATTAGACAATATATGGCATCCTTCAAAAATGTTTTTGTAAAAGTCTCATTTTATAGCCTACTATCCTACTAATAGGATATTAATGTTTTATTAATGCAATACAGAAAAAATATATTTTCATCCTCGCCTGGTAAAAAAAACTATATTTTAATGCAATAAACCATCAAAATCATCAAAGATAGATTATAATGCACCTGAATATCTTCTAATACACATGGAATACAACTGTAACTGTAAATTTGATGAAAAGAAACTGATATACATCAGTTATTACACAACCTTTCAAAAATATACCAGGCAAATGTCCATCTTTTGGCCATATTTACTGTTTACATGCTCACTTTTATTGGGAGTTATCTTCAAAACATTATTTCTCTACATACAACCATGTTCCAAATAACATAAAGCTTCCAAAACATTGAAATGTTGATAAAAACAGTCAATATTCCTAGGACCAAAAGCACTCCCATGCTTTACAGGCCACAGCTTGAGAACAGAACATCCTGTAAGTGGGCTCTTTCTCTTCGTATAGAATCGACCAATCGATTGATATCCTGCATGTCTGTGTAGCTACTAAGGGTCGCCAGCAGACCCCGATAAAGACCGCCAAAGCAAACTCTTCTTCTCTACTTCAATCTGACGACAGAAAGGAAATTTGTCAGCTCAGCCGACCTCACCAAGATGGCGGCCCGCCAGACGGTCTATGTTGACTCAAATGGCCGCTGTTTTTGGACAGAAAACAGCTAGAACAGCGAAAATCAATTACCTGTCCAGTTTCGGGCAGGTCCGGTACCAAGAAGTTAATGGAAACAGGTCTACTGTATTTACTTAAAACTGAGGCATTCAAGTAAAAACTACATAAAAAAATTAAATCACCAGTGCAGGTATTACGGACATCAGACAGTGCAAGTATGGGTAAACTATTTAATCTGTCGCTGTAGCCCTGAGTTCTGTTGTAGCTGTTGTTGTAATGGCTTTACATCTGTCATCATCTTAACATCATCATAGCGGTGTTTGAACCGGAGTTTGTTTTCATGCTGGTACCTCAGCTGGTTCAGGCCTGTCGTGGACAGTTGACTCTTGAGGCTTTTCATGTTCTTCATGTTTTGTGCAGTGGTTAGTTTGTGGTCTTTAAGGGCAACCGATTTCGACATAGGTGCTGTTTGTTCACTCATTTTAAAAAAAATCACCATTTCTTGTATACTGCATGCATGACACATGACACAGGGAGGTGCGTGGACAAGGTAATTGAATGAATGAGCCTACTTAGCCTATAATGTCTGCTGCTGACATATTAGAACAATAATTAAGATGTTATGGTAGACGATACATATCACACGCCCCTGTGAACTTATGACAAATGTAGTATGTGTGAAGTCTAACTTGTTGTTGGAATTTTCTAAATCAACCTTCAATCACCTTAAAGTCATAATTAACGTGACTGTACCTTGCTGGCTCCAGGTAAGAGGTGCAGCTTCACATACGGGTCAGCAAGTCCGTTTGAGTCCATTGGCTTTAAACCCTGAGACACATAAAGAAAAATAATGGTGAGGATCAGCATGAGATGCACACATCTATCTTTTCTTGTCCCATATTTTCTTGTCTTGTTCAATCCTTTCTTGTCTTGTTCCATATTTTCTTGTCTTGTTCAATCTTTTCATTTTCTTGTCTTGTTCTATCTTTTCTTGTCCCATATTTTCTTGTCTTGTTCAATCCTTTCTTGTCTTGTTCCATATTTTCTTGTCTTGTTCCATATTTTCTTGTCTTGTTCAATCTTATCATTTTCTTGTCTTGTTCCATATTTTCTTGTCTTGTTCCATTTTGTCTTGTCTTGTTCCATATTTTCTTATCTTGTTCAATCTTTTCTTGTATTGTTCCATATTTTCTTGTCTTGTTCAATCTTTTCTTGTCTTGTTCCATATTTTCTTGTCTTATTCGCTGCTTTCTTGTCTTGTTGCATCTTTTCTTGTCTTGTTCAGTCTTTTCTTGTCTTGTTCAAACCTTTCTTGTCTTGTTCCATCTTGTCTTGTCTTGTTCCATATTTTCTTGTCTTATTAAATTTTTTCTTGTCTTGTTTCACATTTTCTTATCTTGTTTAATTTTTTCTTGTCTTGTTCCACATTTTCTTGTCTTGTTCAATCTTTTCTTGTCTAGTCTTGTCTTTTCTTGTCTTGTTCCACATTTTCTTGTCTTGTTCAATCTTTTCTTGTCTAGCCTTCACTTTTCTTGTCTTGTTCCATCTTTTCTTGTCTTGTTCAATCTTTTCTTATCTCGTTCAATCTTTTCTTGTCTTGTTACATCTTTTCCGCATCATGTCCCGTCTTTTCTTGTCTAGTCTAGTCTTTTCTTGTCTAGTCCCATCTTTTCTTCTCTTGTTCCATTTTTTCTTGTCTCGTTTTGTTTTGTGTTGGCCTCTCTCGTTTTATCTTGTCTTAACTCTTCCCGTCTATTCCCATCTTTTCATGTCCCATCTTATCCATATTTTCTTGTTTTGTTCAATCTTTTCATTTTCTTGTCTTGTTCTATCTTTTCTTGTCCCATATTTTCTTGTCTTGTTCAAGCCTTTCTTGTCTTGTTCCATAATTTCTTGTCTTGTTCAAGCCATTCTTGTCTTGTTCCATATTTTCTTGTCTTGTTCAATCTTATCATTTTCTTGTCTTGTTCCATATTTTCTTGTCTTGTTCCATTTTGTCTTGTCTTGTTCCATATTTTCTTGTCTTGTTCCATATTTTCTTGTCTTATTTGCTGCTTTCTTGTCTTGTTGCATCTTTTCTTGTCTTGTTCCATATTTTCTTGTCTTGTTCCATTTTGTCTTGTCTTGTTCCATATTTTCTTATCTTGTTCAATCTTTTCTTGTATTGTTCCATATTTTCTTGTCTTGTTCAATCTTATCATTTTCTTGTCTTGTTCCATATTTTCTTGTCTTGTTCCATTTTGTCTTGTCTTGTTCCATATTTTCTTGTCTTGTTCAATCTTTTCTTGTCTTGTTCCATATTTTCTTGTCTTATTTGCTGCTTTTTTGTCTTGTTCAATCTTTTCTTGTCTTGTTCAGTCTTTTCTTGTCTTTTTCAAACCTTTCTTGTCTTGTTCCATCTTGTCTTGTCTTGTTCCATATTTTCTTGTCTTGTTCAATCTTATCATTTTCTTGTCTTGTTCCATATTTTCTTGTCTTGTTCCATTTTGTCTTGTCTTGTTCCATATTTTCTTGTCTTGTTCAATCTTTTCTTGTCTTGTTCCATATTTTCTTGTCTTATTTGCTGCTTTCTTGTCTTGTTGCATCTTTTCTTGTCTTGTTCAGTCTTTTCTTGTCTTTTTCAAACCTTTCTTGTCTTGTTCCATCTTGTCTTGTCTTGTTCCATATGTTCTTGTCTTATTAAATTTTTTCTTGTCTTATTCCACATTTTCTTATCTTGTTTAATTTTTTCTTGTCTTGTTCCACATTTTCTTGTCTTGTTCAATCTTTTCTTGTCTAGTCTTGTCTTTTCTTGTCTTGTTCCATCTTTTCTTGTCTTGTTCCATCTTTTCTTGTCTTGTTCCATCTTTTCTTATCTCGTTCAATCTTTTCTTGTCTTGTTACATCTTTTCCGCATCAAGTCCCGTCTTTTCTTGTCTAGTCTCGTCTTTTCTTGTCTTGTTCCATCTTTCCTTGTCTAGTCTCGTCTTTTCTTGTCTTGTTCCATCTTTCCTTGTCTAGTCTCGTCTTTTCTTGTCTAGTCCCATCTTTTCTTCTCTTGATCCATTTTTTCTTGCTCGTTTTGTTTTGTGTTGGCCTCTCTCGTTTTATCTTGTCTTAACTCTTCCTGTCTATTCCCATCTTTTCATGTCCCATCTTGTCTTGTCCCATCTAGTCTTTTCATGTCCTGTATTATCTTGTTTTGTCTTGTACTGTCTTGTCCCGTCTTGCTTTGTCTTGTCTTATATTGTTTTGTCTTGTCATTTTGTCCCTTGTAGTGTTCTCTTGTCTTGTCTCATTTAGTCTCTTCTTATCTCATGTGTTTACCTTAGCTTTAATGAGACAACAGTGTAGAGCATGGTTCTCCTGTTCGTAAAGGAGACTGAACTCCAGACATCCTAAAGTGGCTGCAAGTATAAAAACACAGGAACACATTAGACATCTGAGAGCAAAATGGAATCTGAACTTTTACATGACTCCTGTTACAAAAAACAATTTTTCCTCTAATGCAGATAAACATTGATTTGTTACTCTTCATTGCTCCACTGGGGTTTTCTTTTACAGCTTTAGGCACACATGGAGGAATTAGTATTATTCAAAAGTAAGCAAACATCTAGGATTAGAAGACACTTTCTCGTTCTATAAAGTTTGGTTTAAGATGAATCAGTCTTACTGGCATCATCTGAGTCGTAGTCGTTGTCCTCATCCTCTGTTCGATCAGGTGGGGGGTGTGGGGGTGCAGGGGCGTTGACTGGTGGATTAACAGGTGGCATTATTCTGGTTGCGGGAATATGTGATGAAAAGGAGCTGGAGACAACAGGCTGTCTTTTTGCCTCCACAGCTGGAGGAGACACTGTCTCTTCCAGCTCTGGGTGTCTGTTTTCTGCAGCAGGGGCAACATTACAATACAAAAAAGGCAATTTATTATTGTCTGAAACATCTTTGTGTATGTCGATGTTGATGTTAAATCTTTTGAAAGCAGCCATGTAGCATTGGGCTTATTCTTAGAAGGAACAGCGCTACTTTACCTGAGGTGGGGGCGGCCTGCTGTGTGTTTGCCCGAGGTGGTTTGGAAGCTAACACATGTCTCTCAGTCTTCATTACAGCTGCTGGACAGGACTGACCCTCATTATAGCTGTCAGCTGTTGTTCTTGCTGTCTGCTCCCATTGTTCTGACCCACAGGACTGCTGCTGCTGTGGCTCTGCACTGAGCTCTGAGTAGACAAAATAAAAGTATCAGTGCCACCACAACAGTTAGTATTGGTGCCACCACTACAGCCACAGCTCCTGGTTATTCTGCTATCACTCAGGGGTGGAAGACATATTCTTCTAAGAACTTCTACTAAAGTAAAAGTAGCAAGACTACAATGTAAAAAAAATACTCTTACAAATTGCATTCAAAATATCAAAAAGTACAAAAGTATTAGCATCAAAATATACTTAAAATACCATAAAGAAAAGTGTATTCATTATGCTGAATGGCCCATTTCAGAATCACATACATTATATTACTGGATTATAATAAGTGACGCATTAATATGCACAATAACATGTTGCAGCTGGTAAAGGTGGGTGTAATTTTAATAACTTTATATACTGCTGAGGCTTAATCTACAATAAAACATTGGAATGTATTAGTTGATTAATAATCCAGATTTACAAAGTAACTTTTAACTAAAGCTGTCAGATAAATGTAGTGGAGTAAAATATTTGCCTTCAACATGTCGTAGAGTAGGAATAGAAATTAGCATAAAATCAGGAAAACTTAAGTAAAGTGCAAGTACCTAAGAACTGTACTTAACTACAGAACTTGAGTAAATGTACTTAGTTACATTTGAGGAGTACTAACTTAGATAGGGTATGTTTGGTTGTGTTTAGTAATTAATAATAGTTACAGCTGCTCGGTTGAGGCAGGTGTAAAGACAGAGTAGGCAAAGATACAGATGATTTTCTCCTGATCACTGAATGACAGGATGGATGTTGTCTTACATAAAACCAACATTTGCACATCATTTTTAGATTTCAAAATATTGGTCAAAAGTGACACCAGCACCAGCCAATAAGCGCCTGTTGCGGTGGCAGAGGGCCCCCTAGAGTCACTGCCAGCTACTAGGAGAAATTCACACAAAAAAAGCATAACATAAATTAATAAAATAAGAAATACTGCTCTCTATATTAAGCATTACATTAAAGAGGTCATATTATGCTTTTGTTTTTTCCCCTTTCCTTTATTGAGTAATATATCTTTTTTGTGCATGTAATAGGTTTGCAAAGTGAAAAAGCCCAAAGTCCACCCAAAGGGAGTTGCCATCTCCCACTGAAAACACTGTTCCTAAACTGCTGATTGGATTTTAACTCCAGTTTGGGTTACTATATCATGGTTATGTTCTCCAAGTCATTTGAAGACAGTGTCAGTTGATTGATAGCAACATTGGGTCCTATCACAAATTGCGCGGGGGCGGGCAGTTTTAACTCAGCTGAGAGTAGGAGTGGGCAGTTAAAATATAAACTGCGTGTCCCGGGATTTAGCTGGCGCTAATAAGATGGAGTCAACAAAACGAAGTTGAAAATAAGATTAAAGCGGGCTTATATAATACAATACCAAAACAAGGCAAGTCTAAAATTTGGAAAACTTCTCAGTTGTTACTGATAAAAACGAACGCAATGATTTATGTTGGTTATTCTGAATGTTTGCGTCCCAAGCATTGTGTCATTTTTTTTTACTCTACATGTCACAATTTTTGTGGCTGCAGGCAGGAGTGGATAAACATGTTGCAGGAGCGGGCGGTAATGGTCACAAAATCAGTGGGAGCGGGATCAAGAAAACAGTCCCGCGCAGGGTTCTAGTTTGAAGCTTAATCTCTTAGTAGAAACTACCATATCGCTGACGATATGTTGTAGGTTCCTGTGAGCCATCTTGGCCTGCTGGACCAGGACTGCTCTCTGTGCTGGACTGTCGAGGTCTGGACAGAGGGAGGGGAGGAGGCAGACTCTGCTGGTCTCTCCCCTTGAAGAACCAAGCTCCTGAACGCTTTTGTACCTACAGGAACACACAGTGAATTCAGGTAAGTTAACTATAATAATACACTGTGTCAGCTGAAAGCTTAAAATAAAAATGGAAACTACTCAACTTTATATGCTGCAGGATTACAGCTATAACAAGTAGTACCAAGTTTACACATCCTGTTCTACAAACACATGGACATATGAACATAGCTCGAAATGTCCAATGCATAGACAATGGAAAAATATATACATAGTTCTGTATGCAAAGAGGGGGACGCCTGGGGGAGTCTCAGACCGAATAACCAAGCAGAAATCATCATAGCTAATCATGACCTGCTACCAAATGTTTCTTTACGCTGTAAAACAGCATTAATTTATTTCTTTAGCCCTTTAGGAGCAGCAGAACCGAGGTCCCCTCCCTCGTGGTGGCTCGGGCAACAGACGCTGTTTTTCCTGCCGTCTCAGCCCGCCTCGAGGGGATGCAGCCGAAAGACGATCGGGCTCACACACCGTGGGTCGCCGCCGAGTTTTCCCTGGCGGTCCTCCGCTTCAGGGTGCCACCGGGGACCTACGCATAACACTGGCCACCAGCCCCGAGGGTTCCCTTGGTGGATTTCGCAGAAGCATGGCGGAGCCTTGCAAACATATCCCTGTGGGTCCTGCGCACCGTAGTGGATGGCTACAGGCTGCGGTTCCGGGTCCGCCCCCCCCCCAGATTCAACGGGGTGGTCTGGACTGCGGTGCACACGGAGCAGAGCCAGGTATTGGGACAAGAAGTTTGCTCTCTGCTGGAGAAGGGGGCCATAGAACTTATTTCCCCGCCAGTCAGGGAGTCCGGGTTCTACAGCCGGTAATTCATAGTTCCCAAGAAGGACGGAGGGTTGCGTCTGATTTTAGATCTGTGGTCCTTGAACCTATCTCTGAGGAGATTCAGGTTCAAGATGCTTACCATCCCCGCCATCATCAGTCACATCCAATCCAAGGATTGGTTTGTCACGATAGCTCTGCGAGACGCATATTTCCACATCTCCATCCGTCCCTCTCACAGGAAGTTCCTGAGGTACGCCTTCGGGGGCGCGGCGTACCAGTATCAGGTTCTTACGTTTGGCCTAGCACTCTCCCCTCACATGTTCACCAAGTGTATGGATCTGCAGCTCTGGCCGCGATGAGGCTCCAGGGCATCCGCATATTGAACTACATCGACGACTGGCTCATTCTGGCCCAGTCTCGAGAGTTAGCGGTTCTTTCACCCGCGTCGCGCCCTGTGACAGCTGTGGGTCTGGCCCCTGAGGGGGCGCAGTTCCTGGAGGCGGGCCTGACGGCAGAAGCGGTCGAGACGCTACTCAGCTCCAGAGCCCCGTCCACGAGAAGGATGTACGGCCTGAAGTGGAAGGTGTTCGCCACCTGGTGTAGAGAATGGGCGGTGGACCCAGTTACCTGCTCGGTGATTATGATACTGGAGTTCCTCCAGCACCGTTTCTCTGCTGGCCTTTCCCCGTCCATGCTCAAGGTGTATGTGGCTGCCATTGCAGCGTTTCACGCCCCTCTGAGGGATGGGCTTTTGGGGAGGCTTCCACTGGTCGTGCGCTTCCTCCGTGGAGTCCAGAGGATGAGACCCGTGACTCGTTCCTGGGTTCCCACTTGGGACCTGGGTTCCCACTTGGGACCTGGCGCGGTTCTCAAGCACCTGACCCTTAAGATGGCCTTTCTCCTCGCTATCACCTCTCTGAGGAGGGTGGGGAATCTCCAGGCACTTTCGGTTTCTCCCCAATGCCTGGAGTTCGCCCTGGGTAGGGTCAGAGCCATCCTGCACCCCTGTCCGGGCTATGTCCCTAAGGTTCCGTCCAGTTTGGCAGGGTCCACGGTGCTGCAGGCGTTTCATCCCACACCTCATGTGACGGCGGAGGACGGGAGACTTCATCTGCTCTGCCCTCTCAGAGCGCTAAGTGTTTACACACTGAGGTCTTCCAGGTGGAGGAAAGCAGACCAGTTGCTGGTGTGTTTTGGGTCCCCCAAGGCTGGGCTCCCCACTTCTAAACACACGATCAGCAACTGGATCGTTCAGACTATTTCCCTGGCGCGGGTTACCTTCACCTATGGCCGTGAGGGCATGGCGGCCTCTAGGGCCCTCCTCGCAGGGGCTTTGCTCCTGGATCTGTGTGAGGCATCTGGCTGGGCCACTCCTCATACTTTTATCCAGTTTTACAGTCTGGACCTTCCTTCTGCACCCGGCACCCGTGCACTCTCCTCTTAGTCGTGCCTACAGGTTTCTGCACGCTGGGTGCAGGCGGGGTTTTGGCACGGCCTAGAGGGTATCTCGTTCTCATAGTGTCGTCACCGACGCAGTTCGAGTTCACCCAACAAAATGGGTCCTAAGACCAACCCCTGAGGCACACCATATTTAACTGGACAGAACAAAGAGACGTAGTTGTTTACAGACACTTCCTATTTGACAGGTAGGATGAAAAACATTCTAGGGCAGTACCAGAGATCCCCACCCAGTGCCTCAGTCTGTCTAACATGATGTTGTGATCAATGGTGTCAAAAGCAGCGCTAACGTCCAGGAGTACCAGGACTGAGCACATACCTTCATCAGCAGACAAAAGGGTAACTGCTGGATGTGGAAATAAGCAACCGTTTGCTAACAAGTTCAACATATCAATGTAAAAAATGGTGACATAATGTTGTGTTTACTACCAAAAAATCAGTTATTGCAGGAAACAAAGCTTTCAAAGTCGCCACATGAAAATGAGTAAAATGAGCCATTGTCTTCAACAGTATTTACTTTTGGGCAAAATGTGTTGATTTGTGTGTTGAATTTGTGTGATTGTTTTGTGTTTAAATAGACTAAACGATTAATAAATACTGATTTGACTGTCTGACTTGGAAAAAAAGATTTATTTTATTAAACAGACAAATGACGGGTTTGTCTTTGCAGCATTACAGAGAAGTTATTCTGTGTGTGACTGACAGGAGGGAGCATTTATTTAAAGAGTCTGGGCTCCCCGAGGCAGAGACCTCAACAAACACAGCGCATCAAAACAGCATTGTATAACTACAATACATTCTTCATTTTTCATAATAAACAAAATACTATCTGTATTTTTTTAATGAAATAAGTGTTGAAAAAAATAATTTCCTATAACTCAGTTTGGATATTGAAGAGGTGTCAATGGAAGGTAATTTTCCAGGTCACTGGACAGTGAAATGCAATAGACGAGTCTAAAAGCTAGGAAATGGTTCATATCATGAGAAGAGCTTCTGTTCTGGTGGCAGAAGAATCACATAATGGTATAATTAGGCACCATGATTTTATCAAACCCACCCTGTGCTACATATTTCCTTTCACTCACCTCTTGGTCTTCGTTGCAGATTCTGCACAGCCACATAGGACATGTTCTGCTGTTGCTCCATATCCCACATTTGCTGCACATGTGCTGCAAAGAGTGAAATACATACATAAAACACACACTGAGTCCTTGATGGCAGGTGCACAGAGCACATATACTTTTACAGTTCACATGGTATTAACATCTACTGAGTTACTGAGGGAAACAAAAAAATGAATGTGATTCATAAGATCAGGAAATATGCATGTCAGAACAATTTAGCATATGGCTCACTGGTGTTTATCACCATAGGAAACCTCTTAGGATCTAAACAACACTATAGGACATACAGTAAACAGAAATCGTGTGTGCAGACCTTACGTCCTCTGGGAACAAGTGTAGTGTCTGTTTTCTTTCCTTGTTCAAGCAGAAAGAATCTAAATATCCACCTACTTTTTTGCACTGCACACAGAGAACAGCTGTGACCCCCTGTGGTCCAAAAGACGCCCCACACAACAAACACTGCGACTGTCCGTCACCACACGCTGTCTTCTTGATATTATCCAGGCGACTGGAAAGACGCCTGAGAACACATGCAAATAATTGTGAGCACAAACACAAACTTGGCACAGGTTTTACACCAAAGCATCATTCAACTCAGCGAGCATCTGTGTGTGGTTGACTGACATGATTTGGTGCAACTGAGACAATAGTTTTCCATCTCACCCAATCCTCTCTTGCTCCATGTTCTCCATCATGGCTGCACGAGCCAGTACACTGTTGATGATCTCTTTCTCCTCATCCGTGAGCTCCTCCCCTGGGGGACCGCCAGACATGTTCATCGTCCACCTAATCCTGAACCCAAAACACACACACACACACACAAAAATAGACACATGGAGTATAAGTGAAAATGCAGCTCAGACAAAAGGCCAGTAACTCCGAAAAGTGCATAACTAACAAGAGCTAGACACTAAAATCTAAAGACAGGAGCACAGCTGGAAACATTTTGGCTTAAAGCAACACTGAGCAACTGCAAAACTTGTCTCACACACACACATACACACACACACTCGAACGAACAAGTTGAAAAAAGTTGAAATATCAAGGCAACAAACGTGTAAAAATAGTGAATTATGTCATGTTCTTCAGTTTAGGCTTTGAGTTCATCCAACTTTCCTCCAACCTTACACATTACATTAAAAGACATTTTTTCAATCCTCTAAGTTTTAATTTTCACACTTTGCATTTTTATTTATACTGTGAACGTTTTGCACATCCTCCTCATTTTAAACACTGCACAGCTCAATATTCAGTCAAATAGCTTTAAAGTTTGATTCCTCCTATAAATATTATATAGGAAGACCTCCTAAGACCAACACTACTGTGATTTGCTGTGGTGCACACTAAACCCAACCTACAAGTGTTGCTGGTTGTTTGGAAAGCTTCCAAAAACTGCCTTTAAGGTTTAACATCCCTTGTGGCCAACTCACAGAGCAGAGGGCAAATTCCTTGCCAGTGCAAATCAGATAAAGTCAGCTTACGAAGTGAGGGCAAGTGTTGTCGTTTTCAGGACAGGAACGTGCATGAGAGAGACTGTCGATGCAAATGTTTCAACAGAAGATTTTGGCATAAGAAATTGAGCTTTTGGATTCACCAGGTGAAAGTGCACCAACATAAAGTTCAGAATATTACACCAAATATACTAAATATTACATCTCTTTTTGGTGTGTTTGCCAGTTTAATATTAGTACACAATAAGTAAATTAAATACTTTCTTTAACCTTCAAAGAGTAACTTAACACTAGGCTTAAAATCAGTGTTTTACTGCCCTCTCTGATTTAAAGTCTGCTGCAAAAGACCACGCCCAGCAGTGATTTTACAGTGTACAGTGTACAGTGACACAACCCAGGGTAAATGGTAAATAGAAAATGGTCTGTACTTATAGCAACTTTCTAATCTTTCCAAGCACTTTACACTACATCCCATTCACTCACATTCATTCACTGATGAAATAGAAATACACATTCATACACATTCATACACATTGAAAAATAACGCTAAAGGACCCAAAGGGTCTTGACCTAGCGCTCAATGTGACGAGTTGGAAGTGCGCACAATTATATGCACACAATAATGCTATTATCAGAACACAAAGACGATTAATGAATCCATTAAAGCCTTTTTTACAGGACTGTAAAATTTATTTCATTTTATGCATCAATTATTCAAACATAAATGTGAGAATTTAAGTTTAGATTTTTACCAAAACAAAAAAGTGAGTGGCCAGTATGTTGTCTTCTATCAATACAGCAAAGACACTGTGCTACATCACCACAATATTTCCCTGTTTGCCATTCTGCTGTGTGCTCCAAGCACAAGTATTCAGAAACACTACGTACCTATTTTGCAAAATAATTTAAGTTATGCCAGCTTTAATCAACGTAGCTATATTTGTTGCATGCGTAATTATGAGCCACATCCCTCACGGCTACAGACTGAATTTGAATACCTGCTCTGATGCATCCTGCATGTTCCATGCACATAGTTGAAGGAGGCACGCACATGCACAGCTTGACCACAGCTCATAAAATGCTTCTATTAAGACTTTCTATTTCTCCTTTATTAGTGAAGGAAACAACCTCTTTGTAATCCTCAGTGTTATGTGGATATGACAAACTGTCCTCACGTCTTGAATGTCTTCTTATTGTTGTGGTTTAATCAGTTTTAGCCACATTAGCATATATAACTGCTAAACGTTAGCATGCTGATGTTAGCATTTAACTCAAAGCATCACAGTTATTTTGATGAAAGGCCACTGCTCCATTTTAAACATGGAATCTGTTTTATTCTGTTACAGTTTACACCTTATGTTTTGTGTAAAATCTTTTGCTGGAAGTCTACACAAATTTGACAAAATAAAATGTGCAAACTTTTGTCAATCCATGTGAATTACATTGTACACAATACAATTTGTGACCAAGTCAGGCTCCCAACAGAAAGCAGTTACAAAGCACAGTTACAAGCAGTTACGTGCATTCTCTGCCATGACTAATGACATTTCATTGTCCATTCAACTGTCAGTGTGCCATGGCTCTCAATAAATTTAAATGGTCTGATCGGAGATCATTTGAGAAGCCATGATTTATTTCAGCTCTACCACACCTACTGCTGTACCAGCGCCTCTGGTGGTTAAATTCCCAGACATCTGCCGGTCATGTCGAAGTGCAAAGGCACCATGTAGCTACTTGTGCAGCTGCTTGCTCTTGAAAATAGGGTGTTAATTGAGGCTGACTGCTGAGTATGGAAAGTGACCTGCTAGCTGTAATGTGTTATTGAAGTCTGGTCTGCAATGTGCATGCCTGAAGACATTTTCACTGCAGAGAAGCACACTCATTATCTCTTGACATGAGCATTGTTAAGAGGAAAGCATGACCTCAACCTCTCGCCTCTGGTCCAGAAACAGACAACACCTCCCTTGATTGATTGATACTGCAGACTGTTACAATATCTGCACGTTCCCCACATAAATTAACCTTAAAAATATATATTTAAGGGTGTTGTTGCCCAACCCAAAATCAGCAGTGGAATCAGTCACCTACCTGATCAGTTAATGTCATCATTTCACTTAATAATAATCTACACTGTAGGTAGCTGTTGGATGATTGTGTCCGAGAATTAAACATCACAAGAGATCAGGCAGTGGCTGCTGAGTAAGAATATTTTAATGCCTCACTTACTCATGGATCAGTGCACTTCATCTTTCTCATCCCATTCCCTCCTTTTCCTGCCTGTTCTGTCGCCTGAAAAATGTCCTGTCCCCAATGCATGTAAATGTCAAGGGTTGCTATCATTGTGGACAATGTGACAACCTGACAGATTGATGTTTGAGTGTGTGTGTGTGTGCCTTGAAGGGTTCACAGTGAGAGAAAAAGGTGGGGTCAGTAAGAAAGGAAATGGCAGACACTTTCAGCTCGTGAGTCACCACTCAACGAATTACACACACACACACACACTCACACACACACACACACACACAGTTGTGTGTCCATCACTTCAGAGGACATTAGATTGACTTAACCCTAATTTCCTGGAAACTTTCTCTAACCCCAACCATAACCACTACTTAAACCAAAATGTAATGATTTACAATATGGGGACTTGCGTTTTTTCCCAAAAAAAAAGGTGAATCCCAACAATGTGACAGTGTAAACAGATTTATGTCCCCACAACAAGTGAAATACACACTCACACTCACACACATTGTCAATATGCATCAAATCACCGCAACTGCAGCCTGGTTGCATGTGAAAACCACAAATTTGAAAGGAATTTGCATTTTGTTTTTATTTGTAATAAATTGATCAGGGATCAATGGGAGAAGTATCTGGATAATTTACTTACATAAAAGTAACAATACCACACTACAGTAATACTTTATTACAAGTAAAAGTCCTGCGTTTTAAAATATACTAACGTAAATGGACATAAGAATCTGAAACATAATGTAAATATGCTTATTTGCTTTCCTGCCAAGAGTTAAATGAGAGATCTATCACTCTGTACAGTAAATATGAAGCTACAGCTAGGAGACGGTTAGCTTAGCTTAGCATAAATAATGGAAATATGGAACACTAATTAACGTGTTACTGTATATCTCGTTTGTTTAATCCTTGGCCAGGCATGGTAACGTCCTGCCAGGCTAGCTATTTCCCCCTGTTTTTGCTAAGCTAAGCTAACCAGCTGCTGGTTGCTTCATATTTACTGCACACAGTAACACGAGAGTGGTATTGATCTTCGTTTAATTATCGGCAAAAAAAGCGAATAAGGGGAATTTCCAAAAATCTAAAGTTTAACTATTTCTTTAAGGTCTCAAAAATGAAACGTACTCATTATGCAGAACGGCCTCTGCCAGTGTTACATTATTATATTATTATCATTATTATTATTATTATTACTGATGCATCCATGTGTAGTCGTTTTATAGTGTTGAGTGGTTGATTCTGTAACAATACATCCCTGATCAACTGATTATATGTTTTGCATGTCAGCTGAAAGTACAATATTTCCTATGTTGGAAAGTTTATGTGCATTTACTCAAGTACTGTACTTAAGTACAAGGTTGAGGTACTTATATTTACTTGAGTTTTTTTTTTTCATTTTAAGCCAATTTATACTTGTACTCCACTACATCTCAGAGGCAAATATTGGACTTCTTAAAGTTACAAGTTAGTTTTCAGATTTAGATTTTACAAACAAAACATACAAACTGTTCATAAAATATGATGATATGTAATATATAAACTAATACAATATAAAAATGACACATAAAACTATATAAATGATGCCATTATGTAGTAGGACTTTTACTTTTAATACTTTAAATACATTTTGCTAAAAACACTTGTGTACCTTTATTTTGAATGCAGATGATTTATACCGTGTTATGTTGGTACCTTTACTCAAATAAAATATGTCAATACTTATATTGACATATTTCCCTCGGAAATGTAATGGAGTAGAAGTATAAAGCAGCATAACAAGGAAATACTCAAGTAAAGTACGGAGATCTCAACATTGTACTTGTTATGTACATTTCACCACTGGAAATGATGACATTTTAAATTAAATACAGTCACACAGAAATGACTGCAGTTATAAACAACTGTGATTAATATACTAGTGATAAATTCCAGTCAGGGTCAGTTGTTTCTCTCCCTCATAGTCACATGCTGTATGAACTGACTATTGACCGGACCAGTCGCTGCTTTACAATAGATCAATGTGCAGTGGAGCTCTGCAGCGGTACATGACACTCCCATCTGATTCTCACTTTTGTCCACTTAATAGGACAG